AACATAGATTACAAATTCTGTGAATATTGAACTGTTGGCTCTAAGCTGCTCAATTAAATGAAGTACTTAAATTACAGCTGGTGGTACTCTCCAAGAATTTTAAGTCAGAAGTTAAAATTTCTAAGTAACTTTTCTATTAGAATTCCCCCACTCCTTATGATTATCATTTTTGGTTTCTGTTTTGTTTTGGTTTTGGTTGTACTGGGGTTTGAACTCAGGGCCTCATGCTTACTAGGCAGGTGTCCTACCACTTGAGCCACTCCACCAGCCCATACTTGGAATCTTCTATATAGAGAAGAGAGGTGAAATTCCCAAGTATTAAAACTGCAAAGAAGCCACACAAATATAAGTGTAAAACAAATCTTACTAAATTAGGAATTTCAGAGTAGGTCTTTAGCCCCTGAAACCATGCCATTGAGCATAAATGTAAACACTTCATACTTGGCTTTATTTAAAACTGAGCAGTGATTTTTTTTTCTTGTTCAGGAAATAAAACAATAAACCCAAACTTCAGAGGAGGATAATTAAGTAACAACATAAATTCTTTGTAATTTTCATACTTTTGTGAAATACTTTATATTCATTCCCATACAAAATGAATATACATGTACACATGTATACACACAAAAATTTCTATTTCTTTTAGCCTAATCATAAATTATATTACATACATTACACACTCCTCCTCATGTATGCCAAAGGATCAGTGATCACAAAACTGAAAATGTTTCCAGTTCTGACAATGAAAGCACTTCAGAATTACCAGATTAAGAAAATTATAGAGAGAGTTGTTCTTCTTTAAGGCCAAATCTGTCTTTAATCTCCCTATGTATGAATAAAATTGAAATACTTTTATTGCTTAACCTTGTACAGTATCTTTTCTTCACTAAGAGAAATCAGTTTCCTTCCATGATAATAAATCCCTATGTATGTACCACAAATAAATATCACTAGTATTATCAAAGAATTCTTATGAATATATTTCCTAAACTGACAGTTAAAATTATCTGTAGGCATAGTGGCACATGTAATCACTTGCAGGGAGGCTGAGGTGGGAGAATCTTTAGTTCAAGGCTAGCCCGGGCAACATAAAGACCCTGTCTCAAAGGAAGAAAGGAGGAAAGGAAAGAAAGGAAAGAATGAGGAGGAAGAAAAGAAGGAAGGAGGGAGGAAGGAAGGAAGGAAGGAAGTCCTTCTACAGACAGCACCTGCTATTTATAAAGTTTGTGAGCCAAACATCAAAATAAACCTATTTTCAGCTGAGCTGTAGGGGCATTTTTGGGTCACCCTGTATTTATATCCTTTAAAGTCCAATGAAGTAAATAGGAACAGGTGGTGGCATCCTCATTTAGCACACAGATAAATCATGGTAAACAGAATTCATACTTTCCTTTCCAGGACCAGACTGAACTTGAACCCCAGTTTCTTAATAGTTGGTCTTAAAATTTTAAATTAGAAGTAATTACTTAAAATGTCTAATATTAACCTTATTAGTGAAATTCAGGTTAGATTTAAACTATTTGCAACAGAACATGTTTAATTCTCTTCATTATTCTTGTAATACTCCTTCCCCATTTCTCCTTTTGTAGAAAGTAGAAGGAAGGATTAGTGGATAATTATATTGCTATGATTGCAGCACCTGTGTGTTATTTCTTTTGATTGGCTACTTCTGTATTAAAGATTCCTACCAGCTAAGTCTCCCTTATCAAATTTTTAGCTAATTTTGGGTTGAGTTTTAAATTTATAACAAAGCCTTCTGAATTCAACTTAGATTTATACTTCAAATTTTTGTTCTGGATTTTTTTGTTACTTTCATCTTTTTATCATACTTTCAATTCCATTGGCAACATTCACAGTAGGAATATAGCTTGAGTTGTCCTCTTATTGCTAGCCATGGAGTTTGTGTATGCCATTCAATTTATAGGTACTAATAACTCTTCCCTAGAGAGCTGCCTTTTAAAAAATACGTGTCAGACCTATTTAAGGAGATACAAGAATTAACTGCTTTAGATTCTGATTACAATTGCAGATGCTAACAGCACTGTTTGGAACTTGATAATCATTGCAATCACAAAAGTACCTTGTGTGGACCCAGGGCAATAGTGTAAGTACTTAGAGTATACTATATATAGACATAGATATAGATAGATAGATATAATATCTCCTTAATACATGTTTTCTGAAGTATAAAGGAAAAAAGGCATATATGCTATAAATTTTTTGTTCTGATATTTCATTTGGCCACCTTAAACTTGGAAAATTATAAAGAACATTTAGCTTTTTAGAAGGCGAAGTTTAACCTACTTGGTATGAAACTTTAGATGTTAGCCTGTGCTAATATGTGATAGAGTGCTGCAGTTTTTTTACATTTAAAATCAATTACTAATGATTGTTTTCCTTCACTGTGCTATGTAGACTTGAACCCTTAAAAAATCATTACAGGAAGCATTGTTTCCAGTAATGAAGATTTATTGTAATTTTATTAAATGCACTCTGTTTTATGTAAAATGAAAATATTACATATCTGAGTAATTTTAGTTTTGTGCATATGTGTATTAGGGTTTCTTCAGTTTTATAAACCTTTTGTATAGCAAAGTTGATTATCCTTCAAAATGTGTTTTGTTTAGATAATCATTTTATTGCTTTGATAACTTTACTACGTCGGAAATATCTTTCCTATTTTACCAATATTAACATTTGCTTTCTTTCTGCCTAATTTTTTGTGTAAACTCTAAATATAATAAGATAAAGTAAAATATTTCATTTACAGGCCCTCTGAAAGTAGAGCATTTTCAAAGCAGGTAGGTGTCTCCACCCTACTTTTCATGAAGCGTTTTACCCATTCAAGCAGACTTTTAAAAACAGCTTGTTTTGATAGCAGACTGTTCTCCTGTGGGCCTTCAGCCGTTGCTTCCTGGCAGCACCTTTGGTGCGAAAAGAGAGTGATCAATTGGGAGACTATCAGTGCCAGCATGCATAGAGTGATAAGTTAACACACCACTGGGAATTTCTAGGGCCCACCAAGATACTTCACTTCTAATGTGCTAACAAGCTCATTTTTCTACCTCTTGCCTCTTCAGTTATTTTTTTTTCTCAGAAGAGCTTAGAAGTTGAGTGCATCAGGCATAATGAAAAGCTCTGTAGGAGGGAGAAGCAATAACCCCATTTTTCCCTTTTCAGCCAAATAGAAAATTAGTTTCTGGTAATACACAAAGGCCAGTATTTTTTGTACAAGGGGCACTGCTGTGAATCAAAGGACTCTATTAACTGCAGAAAATTCGGCAGCTGTGAATCTCCCCCAATGAAAAAAGTACTTTCCAACAAGTTGTGAGATATGTGGTATTATTTAGATTGAACCATCAGTTTCATCCTCTTCCATTTATAACCATATACCCTTTAAAAGTGTGCTATATTACTTTTCTGTGTTAAATTGAACTAAAACAATGTCTTGTTATCCTTCCATAAAATCATTTTAATATAGTATCTTGTCCTGTTGCTACCCATTTCGGAAGTAAAATTCTTTTGAAGTTCAACCCTAATGTACAGAACTGAAAATAATGAATTGTAGGGAATTGGAATTCAGATTATTTCAGTATTTGATGCATAAAATAAATTGTAATATAAGAAGATAGTATATAAGCCATTTAAAAGGCAAGATAGCATCATCAAGATCAAGTTCATGATGAATATACTGCAGTCTTTTAACTCTTAGGCTTTTTTTTAACCTCTTCTCAATAAACTTTTGTAAATGTAACTATCCATAGTATCTCTTGTTTGAATTATCAGCTTAAATTATCTTGCAAATTATTTTTCTTGCACTTGGTTGTAGACTTGGTCTACAATTTCTAGATTTGTGGAACTATAATGATTGAATTATAATTTTTCAAAAAAGTGTAAGCAATTTTGAGGAGTATTAAAATGGATTTTAGAAAAATTCAGTAAAGAAAAGAGAACCAGTAGGCAAATTCTTACACCTGTTTAAATGTCTTACGTACATCTTTATTATCCTTATTTAAATGTCAACACAGCACATTGAGTACAGCAGGAAAACTTTTAAAAGTTGTAGAAGAAAGGTTAACTGATTTCTCAGTTCAGGAACTATACGGCATGAAGTCAGCATGTGAGTTTTTCCTGATAATTGTATGTTGCTGCCTGCTGCTCTACATTTTGACAGCCATTTCCATAGTTGCTTTCGTGAACAACAGAAATATTCTCTCTCTTTCTCGCCCTCTCTGTGCTAACAGCACAATCAGACCTGCTGAAACAGGAAGCCTGGAGTGGGTTGTTCAAAAGCAACAACACTTCAAGGTACTGGTTGCTTGTCAATAATATCAGAGAAGAAAATGTGGTGAAAGGGAAGTACAGTATTTTTCAGTCAGTGTCAGTGCCCTGTAGATGCTTTGTTAGACAGTATTTAGGAGTCCTGTGGTCTCTTTGCAAATATTCCTGCTTGTTTCAGTGTTATAATTGACTAGGTATTTTTCCTGACATACAGATTCAGCTATGTGTTTATCTTAACCGCATGGAGTGACTCGAGGATTATAGCAATAGTAGTCTTCCATTCAAAATGAGAACAATTGTTGAGAAAATTTAGAGATTTTAGAAAATGAAGAAGATATGCAGGAATTTTTCACAATATCTTTACAAAGGAAAAATACAGAATTTTACACTTAGTATTTTAAAGAATGTTGCAATATGTATTGCATAGTTTTTGAGAATATATACTATTTCATTGTCATTTATAGTAGTCTCTTAAAGAATAAACTTATGTTGAGAAGTATATTTTATACTTTAAAAAGGCATGCTTTTAATAATATGCAAGAACAGTGAATAATTTATTAAGAAGTAAAGAGTAACAATCATAATAGTCCTTTCTTATGAAATATGTTCTTTCCAATTTTTTTAAATTTTTTATTTATTTATTCACATGTTCATACATTGTTTGGGCCATTTCCAATTTAAGCTGCATTTTAAGTTCATCCTTAACAGAAGGAAATCAGCTATGAGGAGAGAGCGCGATACCTGCAAACAATTGTCCAGCACCACTTAGAACCAACAACATTTGAAGATTTTGCAGCACAGGTTTTTTCTCCAGCTCCCTACCATCATTTACCTTCTGATGCAGGTAAGATTCAAAGCAAGTATTAGTTATTTGTCACTGGAATTTGAAATGCAATACCCTTTTGTTCTAAAAAAAATTTTTTTCATATATTTGAACTTGGCCTATAAATTTGATTTATGTTTTCTTTTACATAAATGCAGTTCCTTAAAAAGTCAACAATCTTCATAAAAGTACATGTACCACATTTTATCTGAGCTGATAGTCAATGACTCTTGCGTCTCATGGGATCATTACTAAAGTATCTGCAAAGGGACACAGTTGAGTATGTGCTCTCAACTTTACAGGATCACATTTTATGGCCAAGAATATCACCTTATTATCTCTAATTTTTCAAATAAAGCTACACTGTTCTAGATTTAGAAGTACTTGCTGTATCAAATTTGTTATAATCTTTGTAAGATTGTTAAGAGGGTACTGCATTAATACAATTGACTAATTTTAAAGAAATCAGTAAGAAAATAAATTACTCATGGGCTTCCTTTTCTGTAATGTCTTGCACTCCTTATGATTGTTTCATTTATTTTATTTTCCCTCTTTAGATCATTAAATATCAGTTCTGTTTATCTGAAGGTAAGACAAAGTGTCAACCAAAACATCCTCTGTTCTTCTCCCATTTCCTTTTTTCAAAATTAGCAAGCTCTAAGCTTGTAACTCAGACAATAAGCAACCTTAACACTGCCCTGGTTCATACTAAACATTTCAGAAATTGTCACTAAAATTTTTCCAGAATTACACTAACTAACCCAGGTCTGCATGAAACACTAACATGGTTTGGGGATGAAAATAACTAATAATAGGGCCCCTTGGCTGAAATTAGTTATACCTTGTTATATTGACCTTTTTTTGTTTGTTTCTCAGCATGAAAAATAGTACTATTGAAGTGAAGTGGTGTTCTTCATATTTTGTATTGTGTTGGATTGTTACTTATATATCTTAACAAATGACTTTTCTCTAGGCCTTGCACTGTAGTGGGCACCTAAAATACAAACATGAACATTGTAATGGTGTTCAAGGGAAGTAGGGAAATAGAAATAATATGAAGTTAAACATAATAAACCTAATTCTCTTTATGTTAAATAAGTTCTCTTTCCATTAAACAAATTCAAAAGGCGCAGCAATCCTTTTTTAACCTAATCTATTTAGGTTAAAAAGAAAATAAGAATTACTTTAAAGCCTCTCTTCCTGCTGTCATTAATTTGCCATCAGAAAAATAATTTAACCAAAAAAGTTAGATCCATTATAATTAATGTAAAAAAGTTAGTAAAGAGAAAATCATGTTACACTAGGTTTAATCTTTTGAAAACAAGATTAAAAAGGTGTAAATTTTGCTTTAATGGATTGATACAATCTAAAGTTACTCAGTTTGGCATTAAGAAAAAAAGTAAAAGATAACAAAAGTAAACTAATGAACATCAAAATTAAAACTACTTAATGGCAATGTTATTGTTTAATAATAGAAAATATCTGGTAAAATATAAGACTATATTAAATTAGATATGAATAACTTTTGAGTGTTATATAATCAAGCCATAAATTTCATGACTGGAAAATCCTGATAACCAGACTACATTTAGACTAACTTTTCCTTTCCCTTGTATTTTATAAAAACTTTAGTTTTCCTATTGTAATTGTTTATCAGCTGGAGTCTTTTAGAGTTGTCATTCAATGTTCTTTTCATATTTTGTTTATTGCCCTGCACATTTAGCAAGGTATACTACATGGGAAACAAGTAGTACTCTCTCCTTCTGAGACAGCAGTCAAATCTAGGCTCTGTTGATTCCATTTTTTAATGCATTAATGTTCTTACTAACTTACTTATCCTACATGTTATTTAAAGTAAGATAGTGTCTAAATAATAATAAAAATGTGGATTTGAACATAGACCTAGAATTGTGCTACAAATTTTTTTCAGTTAATTTTCAAAATTGTCTTTGCCTTTAGGAACCATTAGAGACATGCATTCTAATTTTTTAAAAATGTATTTTTACCTGTAAAGAACTATGACAATATTACTGAATTTATGTCTGTATAAGTTTTTTAAAGACTTTAATACTAATTTTTTATCAGAGTAATTCTCAGTTCAACACAATAAAATAAAAACTAAATATACTACTGTGCAAAAAAAAAATCATAGTACCTGAAGAATAATTTTTCTTCCGTTTATTTCAAGTCTTGATTTTTATGTCATATTTCACCATATATATATATCTTTCTTTTTAAAGTTGCAAGTCCAAGTGGGAGAGAGAAGACATGAAATAAGCTATATAAATAGTAATTTGGACCTGAGTTCTAGTTTACAAAAATTACATAATAGGGTGAACTTTATTCATTGTTTTTTTGTTGTTGTTTGTTTCTTTGTCTGTTGCTTTTTTTCTTTTTGAGGCAAGGTCTCAATCTAGTCCAGGTTGGCCTCTAACTTTCAGTCCTCCTGCCTCAGCCTCCTGAGTGCCGAGATTACTGATGTGTACCACCAGGCATGGCTAGCTTCATATTCTTTAATACAATGATAAAATTTGTTTGCCATATTGAAGAAGAAATGGATTCATAATTGCAATTGAGAATCAACCTTAAATATCCTATGTATCGAAAATAATCTGATCAGTACTAGTGCAATATTTAGAATTATACTTTTCCTAGCCAACCCCATTACATATTTCTATTTAGTGAAATAGTGTAGAAAAATGCTATTTTGAGGGGGGTTGAGGAGTACGTCAGTGGTAGAGTACATGTTTAGCATACTCAAAGCCCTGGGTTCAATCTCTACTATAGAAAAAAATTGGGACATAAAATATATATGAGTATTTTTTAAGGTTTACATAATTTGGTTCAAGATGACCTAAAACTCACTTTCTAGTTAACAGTAATGCACTAACAGCGATGACATTTAAATCCAAAAAGATTTTTAATACAACTTGCAGTGTTTTAAAAATGTTAAAGATTTTGGTGTATTGTAATTGATGCATAAATTTCATAACTGTACTTTCTCAAAATGTACTGTCAATGGCACTAGACTGATACTTAAGGGAAATTATTTTTATCCCTAAGGTCATTGAAGAAAACATTGTGATGTCACACTTTGTTGATCTTCCATAACTACATTAAAATTTTATTAGATTATTCTTGTCCTTTATTTTTAAAAAGTTACAGGAAAAATCCCTTTATCTTTGTCAGGCACATATGTGGAAAATATCAAAAGTTTTATAGTGACTTTTTTTTAAGTTTTTCACATTGATAACACCTAAATAAACTTTAAAATGAAGTCACTTCTCTTCCTGATCTGATTACAGTGGTAGTTCAAAAATATTCATATTTTCTCTAATGTTACATTGTCTTTCCAATGTTGCCTTTTTTTTTAATAATAAAAATTCTAGGATGCCCTTAAGAAAAAGGATTCTGTTTTATTAGAAATATATACTAAATATTAAATGGTTTGTCTTTCTCAATTTCAACATTAAAAATACAACCATAATTTTTCTAGTATTACATCTTTTTTACTGTATCAGCCATAAATATCTTTGAATGGCTATTGTGTAGTGTATCTAGAATTACATATAATACTCTATTACTATAATTGATCCAGGAGATATCTTCCTTTGGATTGGTTTTCAACAGGTTAAGTTAGAGATTTTAGTTATTTAAAAATTAAAAAGTTGGATGGTGTTTGTCACTCTCCATTATGTAAGTATATATACAGGAACATATGTATACACATATATCTATACATACATACCACTTTTTATAATTACCTTTAGCAAATATAGAGGTTTTATATAGGAATATAAAAATTAGTAAGATTCAAGTATAGTTTATATGCCATCGAAATCAAATAATATAGAGTGATTGTGAAGACCAACAATGGCATCTAATCTACCTTCATTATAAACTCAGTTTTGTTATTATTTCACAAAATCTATATTACCATATGTAGACAGGTTAGGATTTATGATTGCCAGGTCTGTCTTTCTGAATCTGAGTAGAATGGGTTATCCAGATTTGTCCATTGTAGACCGGTGTGGTGGTACATAGCTATAATTCCAGCTACTCGGGAGATAGAGATAAGAGTATCACCATTTGAGGCCAGCCTGGTCAAAAGCACAAGATCCTATCTGAACACAACTAAAATAGAAAAGGGCCAGGAGCATGGCTCAAGTGTGGTAAAGTGTTTGCCTACCAAGCAAGAGCCATGAGTTTAATCCCCAGTATCACCAAAAAAAAAAAAAAAAAAATCAGCCATTGCTTTAAGAAATCTTTTTTATTGTAACTTAGCATGCTTCTTTAGAAGTTATTTTAAATTTTCCTCCCCTTTCTAAGTATTGATATGATTTGAAAGAAAATATTTTAGTCCCTCAGAAGATAGTTATAGATATTCTAAATATTATTTATAAATGCCAGTAGAAACATAAATGTAATACGTTTTTAAAAACAGATTTCTGTTCATGCAAATTTATCACTATATTAGTTTGAAATTACAGGTAGCCAAATATCTTCCATCAGTACTTTGAACTTGAAAATTTGACTTAGATGTTGTTGACCAAGAAGCAAATAACATTGATCTTATATAACATCTATTAACCTTTTGTAACAGTAATTATTAGGCTTAGTTTCCACAGAGAACATTCATTCAGATATTTTTTTTTTAATTGGTACAGGACTTTGATCTCAGAGCCTGTGCTTGCTAGGCGGGCGACCTACCTCTTGAGCCACTCCTCCAGACTTTTTTTGCCCAGCCTGCTTTTCAAATGAAATCTTGCACTTTTTGCCTGTGGCCAGCCTTCAGACCATGATTATTCTCCTGTGTGGCCGGCACTACAGGCATGCGCCATCATGCCTGACCCTCTGATGTGAATTTTTTTAATGAAAACAATAAAGTAATAACTGAGCAGTTACTGAATGCCAGGCACTGTGCTAACTGCTGTACCTGCATTCTCTCATTCAGTCTTCATGGCAGTTCTATGAAATTTGAAAATAGTGATAATAATAAAAACTAAAGCTTATTCAGGATCACCTCATACTTGGTGAAGCCAGCATTCCAATCAAGACCTGTCTGACTTCAGAGTGTGTGTCCATAATTATTATAGTTACCCACTTAGTCTGTTTTCATCCCCTTCTTGCTGTTGATAGAGGAGAGAGAGATTGCCCAATAACCTGTCATAGTTATAAGTTGGAAATTGTTACAGATTTTTATTTTGAGGGCTCTACTTTTCTTGCTCATTGAAAAATGTTTCTTTTTTTAAAAAAAATAAAAACCTTTTAAGGTTGAAATCAGAGTGATCTGGATTTAAATCATAGTCCTGCCATTTATTTTCTATCTGAACTGAATCTAAACTGTCTTATTCCCAGTTTTCTCATTTGTAAGAAGGAGGTAAAATATATTAAACTTAGCCTGATTTGTTCTATGTCTGCAGTAATAGTAGTTCCAGAATACATTAAAATGAAACCACTTATTTGCCTGTATTTTTGCACTATTTTGTTTTAAATTATGTCTTATTTTCTTTATGACATTCAGTGCTGTATCCATGATAATCTTAATTGTTTACCAGCTCCTTTAGCAATATTAAAGTAATAAGGTTATTTGTGTAGTCTAACCTTTAATATAAATTTATATTTTACAGAATTATCCACATAAGAGAGGACAATTTTTTTTATTTCCCCAAAACTAAACCTCAGGGTATGTTGTCCTTTCCACACTTGAATGATTATATTTCAAAGGTGGTCATTTTCTTCAAGAATATTTCTGGTTTCAATATTTCCTTCCTAGTTCTCAAGTGCTCTGGTTCAAAGTCTACTAAATTTCATTTAATAGCTTTCTTATACCATTACACTTACTGGGTGCCTACTGTGTTCCAGGATCTTTGTGTATGTAGTCATTAATCCTCAACGTGGCAAATAACTGTTATTGTCTCCATTTACAAATAAGAAAATGTTTTAAGTCAGTTTGAGCAAGATCAAATGACTAATAAAGTGACAGACTTGGCATTTAACACAGAACTGTCTAGTCCATGCCTGTGTTCATCCAGCATATTCACATTGTCTCCTAGTTCGGTAATAACTGAAATTGCTTTCAAAGTTAGAATATTTTAAAATGCTATATTTACCCAATAACTTTAGTAGTTTTAAACTGGTCATACTTGTGAGCAAACAGTACAAACAAAAGCAAAATAAACTAAAATCCATTAAGTTCCCTTTTATAACATGCATATAAATCCCCCAAGTCATATGCTCATGTTATTTGTAATAGTTTATTGTAATCAATATGTAATATATGAATCAACTTATTATACTATCAAGATATAGACACAGTCTGTATGAACACTGTCAGTGTGTGTTAGTAACATGATGAGGTCATAGCTCAGTGGTAGAGCATTTGCCTAGCATGTGTGAGGCCCTGAGTTTGATCCTCAAAACAGAAAAAAAAAAAAAGTATTAGTAACAAATACCTTATGCATAAACATAGGAACCCAAAGAAATTTCTCAAACTTATCCTTGAGGATATTTTAATAATAAAGTAATTAAATCAGCACTCTTTATGACTCAGGTAATATAAATCAGTAGGCAGAATAGGATTGACATGAGCTATAGGTATCATTAGGCATATTGAGTATGAGTATATATCACAAATATCATTTGCTAAAATGTGAATACGTATGATATCTATATACCTTAAACACTAAAAAGCCTGATTTGACTGTGAGTTGGCTGAAAGGAAATTCACTTTGCAGGCAATAAGGGAGACATAGAGGAATTTTTTTTATTTTTTTTTATAGAAAAGCTTGGATATGTATGCAAATATTGAAGATTAACTTTATTTACTATTAGTGTTCAAAGTAGTAAAAGAAAAAGATTTTAGGAACAGTTACAGTTAAAAAAATTTGAAGTGGGTGAAATAGCTGTGAAGCAAACTTTCATGGAGGTCTGTTTGCACAAAGAATTAAGTGAGGAAATATTCTTTGAGTTAGGCGTACTCTAAAGCAGTGCTATCCAATAAAATTTTCTATGATGATGGAAATGTTAAGTATCTGTTCTAGCCAATATCATAGCAACTAATCGGTTAAATGTGGCTATTGAACACTTGAAATGTGAATTTTTAAATTTTAATTACATGTAATTTAAATTTAATGTGGATATAACTACCATATTAGAGTAAATCTAGAGATTTTATGACCGAGTTGTAGAATAACATACTATCAGTACAGTGAACACTTTTTAAACAGTAGATGTTTAAAGAATCTCTCATAGACTTTTCTTTTTTCTTTTTTTTTTCCTATTTGAACTTGATTTGTTAGTTGGTAAGTATAATGTTTGAACTTAACAAAGCATTGATCATTGTGAAACATCACCCTAACTCATTGCATGCCCAATTATATTTCATAAAATTACTTTCTACTCTGCTCCTCAGTAAACACCTGTAAAATCTGCCCTGTATCCCTCATATCTGTTGTCTATCTTCTCTTTTGTTTTTTCACTTCTGCTCGCTACTCCGTTTCTTCATTCACAACAAAGAAAGAAATGCAGTGATAGTTCTGTTCCTCCCAAAACCTCCGCTAGAAAACATTGGCCATCTCAGGTAAACAGCCATGGGAAGGCCTCATGATGGCTGGGAATAATATGCATTGTCAGAAAAGCATTAGCTACCACTCATCGCCTTCCTTCTGCCATCCACCTACAGGGCTTCTCTAAGTGAGTTGTGGATTCATATTTAGATTTTCCAGTATGAGTCTACTATGAGCAAATTCAGATCTTTAGGAAGAGTAAAATTAAACAAAAATGTATTTCCTCCTTTATTTTGAAGTTCACCTCATTTCAATTAGAAAGAAACACATTGGAGAAGTTACTGTGAAAAAGAAAGCAGTTGTCATGAATTATAAGTGACAAGATATTTTCCTTGGAAATATGTACTTGTTCTTAAGTATAATTACAACATTTGGCCTTGAAAAATACTTGTAAGTGTATACAGAGATACATTCTTAATTTTCTTGAGATAACTCAGTAAGATCTGCATTTCTTATTGAACATTTTTGGAGGTTTTTGTTTTTGTTTTATTGTTTGGCAGTACTGGGACCTGAACTCAGGGCCTCAAGCTTGCTAGGCAGGCACTCTACCATTTGACCCACTCGGCCAGCCTTCTTTTGTGTTGGGTTTTTTTGAGATAGGTTCTCTAGAATTCCTTGCCCTGGATGACTTCATACCATGATCCTTCTCACTTCTGTCTCCTGAGTAGGTGAGATTCCAGGTGTGAGCCATGGGCACATGGCCTGGTTTTCTCTTTTAAATATTTATCACTTCAGCTTAAGCACAAATGTTTCATTAAATGGAAGTGCTGGCATAATTATTTCTAAATGTGAAGTGTCAGTGAGGTGCTGCATTGACTAACATCTTGGAGAGCTATAAGGACAAGCCTACAACCTGTGTGGTGTTTTTGCTTGTTTGTTGATGACACAGATAAAGAAAATTTTCACATTTAAGACCCAAAAAAACTGGATTAAAGTGTCTTAAAATATATAGAATTTTTAAATTTTGTTGTTCTATAGATATTTTTCTAAGGGCTTTTCTTTTTAATGTCTTACTCATTTATTGAGAAAATACTTGAGAGCCTACACTATTTAAGGTTCTCTGGTATTGCTGTATGTTGAAGAATCATTCATAGAAACAAAGCACAGAAGTGAAGAACTACTTTGTAAAAAACACAGAATTTTCCTATTGGAATGTTCTTCTCATTTTAAAATTCTGTATCTACTAATTCTATTGGTTACTTAGTTGCTGTTGTTGAAGAGTATAAGTGCAAAAGTTTAATGAAAACAAAATATTACTTATCATTTCTAAATTAAGACATTCTCTGAGATCACTTTGTCTTTTTGACAAACTTCCAGATGACAATTATTATTTTCGCCCCTCCCCCAGGAATTTATCTTGCTCCTTGTAAAGCCCTACTTCAACACCTAGCACATATGATGGTCTCCTAAATGCCAAGTTCCCCTTTAGGGCATAACCATTTAGAACCACTTGGTGCTATTTTTTTCCAGTTTGTTTTGGTTGTACCTGAACCCTAGAGATAAGATTGGTCTTTCTCACTTGCCTCTTGTGCCCTTCCCTGCATGCCATGTTCTTTGAATCCCCAGTCTTTCTGGCCCCCAGATTTTGCTTCCCGTTGCTTTTTCCGGGGTTCTGGCTCCAGAGATGATGACTGGTGCTTTCTTGTTGGTACAATGACATGAGCCACCAGATCACTGAGTTTTAAATACATTAGTAGGCTGTTGTAACAAGCAAGTTTTGGGGCTTGCTTTTTCTCTTAAAAGACCTCATTAAGGGTTAGGATCCTTGTGCCAAATTAGTAGCAGGAAAGTTCTTATGGGTTGAGAGGCTATATGACTATACTCATGTTTTTGCTGTTTCCTACAGGCTTCTACCCAGAGACTCTATCCAGTGAAGCTCCCACAACAACGCAGATAGATGGGGCTGACCTGGCCTCTCCAATGTCCCCTCGAACTAGCAAAAGCCGCATGTCCATGAAGCTGCGTCGTTCCTCTGGCTCAGCCAATAAATCCTAAGGAGACAAGCAACCTAGCAGTGATCAGAAGCAGTTACCTTAGCACAAACACAGTATTAACCCCTCCATGCCTTCATGTATGCCATGACGTGCATCTTCCTTCCTGCACATGTATTTGAGAAAACACTGGACTTAAATCATTTGTTAATTTAATATTTTAGATTTGGGTTATTTATTCAGTTTGGTTTTTTTCCCCCTACACTCCAAGCTGCCCTATTTTGAGGGGGTAGAGTTTATTCTGTACTCCTTACCTTCCTAGATAATTATGTCAAGTAGTTTTACCTTTAATTTCATGATTCATGTTGAGCCAAAATATAATTGGACAGTCTCATTTTATTTATTGTGCCCCATTATAGCTTTATAACTCAATAAACATATAATGTTTTTACAAATGTAAACTTTTTTTTTTGTGTATGTGGTTCTGGGATCAAACCCAGGATCTCAAGCATGCCAGCCAAGCATGCTTTTGAACTATATCCCTACCCCTGCAAATGTAAAATTAAGTTTAAGCATTTATAAAGACATAGTAAAAGTTGAAAATCTGTTAATACACAGGATGTGTACAGATTATTCATGTTATAAAAATAAAATACTCAAACGGTCATGTACTATCTCAAGTCCAACTGAAATGATTTTAGCATTAACTTTTTCTTCCCAAGACAACGTCTCATTTCTTGGCTGTACAAGTGATGCCTTAACATATCCAATAACTAGAAAAATCACTGCTGTACTTTGATTTCTGTTTAGCTTCCAGTTTTCTAATGTTCTGCTTTTTAAGTGGTATCACCATTAAATGCTATTTCTGTTTGTGGTTGTGGCCCCTTATTATTGGCTGGTAGACCCTTGTGTGTGGTACCAAAAAGGTGGCGGCAGGAGGAAAAAACTTTTCTTATATATTTTGCCCAAATTATATGTATTAAGAAAGAAAAAAGAACATGACCCAGGAATCTAAGTTAAATCTGATATTGTTAATACTGTACTTGCAGGTGCAGGTTGGTATACATTCCACCCTCCAGATGTGTTTTCCTATAGTAGATTAGCTACTCACATTTTGTTCAGAATGGGCATCTACGAAGGAAATGTAGCATGACTGTGTACCAACTGCATGTGTAAATATATCATACTGGGAAACACAGAATTTAAATTATGTATCTTTCATGTAGTGGCTACAAATTTGTAATGGAGATTTAAAAAGACGACATGGTATTTAATAATAAAAATATTCTTACCACTGTCTGTCCATGATTTGTCTTCTGTTTCATATATTTTTAAACTTAATAAGCAGGACTACATGGTTAGTGGGAATATGTAAAGCATATGCCTATGTTATCTTAAACAGTCATTTAAACAATGAAGTTAAATTCCATTTTTAGGGTGCACTCTAAACTTACTTCTCAGAGATCCTACCATAGTCCTGAGAAACAGAAAATCTTACACTTCATAAAGGCCAACCAGAAACTTTGCCTAATGCGCTTGGTTAAAGCATCAGTGTGTCTCAGCCTCAAGTTTGTTTGGTTTCTTAAATTTCGTATTATCTTATAATATACTTTCAGGAATAAAACTTTACCAAATTTTTCTAAAACATCTTCTTAGAGTTCCTGTGCACTTGAATTTTTGTTTTCTTATGGAAACTAAAATTCCTATGAAAGCTTATTAAAAAAATAAACAAATGGATAATGTAAGTCCCTTGGAATAAGATTAAACAGTTTTCCACAGCCAAGGTGAAGAATTATTAAATGGAAAGTCAAACAACTGCTTACATATTTCTAAGGTGCTTTTTTTAATGAAAAATATAATGGATTGATAATATGCAACAAAATGGACTGAAAATACCAACTTGAAATAGTGATATAATTTTTGTCATCTTCAGATAACACTATTCAGTAGGTTTTTTTTTTTTTAAGAAAATACTTGAAATATATTTTCCTTTGCCATTTGTTGAGGAAAGTGTCATTTTAGATTGAAAGAACAGTACATATTCTTTCTTTTTTGGAGCTTCAGTTTGTGCAACTAGACTTCAAAGGAAAATTTCCCATTGCATTTCTGTACCATTACAATCATTTGCAAAATATAATATCCCCTATCTTTGTATTCTGTCTAAATGGGTCACTAAGATTCTAAAGTAAAGTAGAATACTGGTATTGGGGAGATACAAAATGTGGCTTTGAAAATATGCTGTGTTCAACCAGTTCTTAAGACAAACACAGAACAAAACAAAGCACAGTCTATGTACATTTATTTGGTGATAAGCATCTTACAAATCTGAGCTATTTATCAAGCAGTGCTCAGCTAGTGTCCCAAACCCTGGCTATTAGAGGATGGATACAGAATGTGCACTGAATGTGGTTTACAAAAAAATTCGAAAATTTTTTGCTGCCGAAAAGAAAATATAGATGAGTGAATTGCCATTCAGATCTCTAATGCAATATACATATTAACATCTGAAGCTGAACAGTGTCATATATACAGTATGAGATTTACAACATAAGCAATAAATAATTTGGGTGAAACCCTACTAAAACAGTCAAACTTGAGGAAACAAGTTCTCTATTTCCAAAAAGCTACGTAAAGAAGGTTAAAAGTAGCTTCCTGAATACACACAAAGTAGCTGAAAAATTTGAAGGGTGTCCTAACTCCTTCCACAAAAGTAGCACCCTCCCCAACTCCAAAAACTAAGACTGGACTAGTATATATAATTGAGAGTTACAGGGGAGATTCTTGCAACGCCCCCCCCCACGAAAAGCAGCAAACATCCTTCTAAAATTTCCTGCCCATGAACACAAGTGTTGACTCGTGCCCCCCTGTAAGTTTGGCACCGATCACGTAACTTTTAATTCACAGAATATACAATGCAAGATGTCTGACCTACTGAGACAGAAAATACATAGGTGCCTGTGATGGCAAGAGAAAAAACAACAAAAAAAAAATGTAGGTGACGACCACCTTTGGTAGCCAGAACGCTTTGTAGGTGGTGTTGAGACATGCACGCATCCACTGCGACTTTCCATAGGAATTACAAGTCATGTAGAATTCGTTGGGGTCTCCAGAGTTTGGGGGACAGAGGGAAGGACCCTATTTTGGTGGGAAAGTGAGGAGGATTTAAAGCTGACAGCCTCTGACCATGACTGTTGTTTAGACCATATACATACCTGCTCTAGAGAGGGTTTTTACATTTCGCCGTCCCCTCCCCTGGCGGGACGTAACTTGGGAGAGTTTTAGGAGGGAAACACGGGAAGGAAGGAAAGTAAACTTGCAGCAGTTCCCGTGCTGTTTTCTCCCTGGCGGGCCTTGGCAGTCTTCCTGGGCTAGGCCCTCAGCAGCCCGGCCGCAGTGGCATCTGCAGCAGCAGGACCTGCCGGCTCTCCGAGGGGTGGCACTTATTGATGTGGCGGGTCAGCCCCGGGGAGCTAAAAAAGGTGGACGGGCAGTGCTTGCACGAGAAAATCTGCTGCGCACTCGGGTCGGAGCCGCCCCCTGGGCCCGGGGCTTCGGGCGTCCCCGACAGGGCGGGCAGCAGCAGCTCCTCGCGGACGGCGTGCCACAGCCGGTGCTTCTCCCGGACGTCGGCGGACGGGAAGTGCGCCCCGCACAGCGGGCAGGCGAAGGCGAGCGCGGCGCCGCGCTCCGAGCCAAAGCCGGGGCCCAGCGCCCGCGCCGAGCCCGCCTCGTGAGTGCCCAGGTGCTTGCGCAGGTAGGCTTGGCGACGGAACTTCTTGTGGCAATACGGACACACGAAGACCTCGGATCCCCCAGCACCACTGGCACTGCCCGGCCCAGACAGTCGGCGCCCCAACACCCCGTCGGTGTAGGGGGCCTGCGGTCGCGGGGGCTCGGGGTGCGTCAACACCTGGAGGCCCTGGCGCGGGGCGCTGTCCTGGTGCTGATCGTCGCCGGAGCTGTCCCTGGTCTGCGGGTGCTGATCCACAGTCCGTTCTGCCCGACTGTTCTCCTTCCCCTCTGCCAGGAAAGACGCGATGGGCCCCGAGCCGGGGGAGGACGCAGACGACGAAGGCGGCGGCTTCCCGTCGGCGGCGGACACTGTGGCCGCTGCGGGACGCGGCTTGTGCCAGCGGCGATGGGAGGCCAGGTTCGCAGGGCAGCTGAAGACCTTGTCGCACTCGGGGCAGCGGTACTCGACGCGCACGATGCGGGAACAGCGGTGCTGGGCCAGGGCGAAGGGGTCCGCGTACTGCTCCTTGCACAACTGGCAAATGAACTCCCCCAGCGGCGTGCGGCTGCCCCCCAGGGTCCGGGACGGCGCTCCCGGCTCCTCCTCCTTGATCTTCAGGCCCAGGACGGGGGATGTGGTCACCTCGTCTGCAAAACTCAACTTCCTCATGGCCTTTGGCTTCTTGATTCCCGCAGCCACGGGTCCGGACACGCAGCCTGGAGGGGCCTTGGCGCGGCGCTCGCCAGCGGCGGCCCGCTTCAGGCTGCGCAGGGTGGCCGAGAGGGGAGCGGGGTCCAGCTGGAGCGCGGGCTCTGGGAACGGTGCCCGGAGCGGCAGCAGGAACTGTTCCCCAGAGGTCGGGGCGGCTGCTGGTGCCACCGAACAGGAGAAAGTGGCCACGGCGGCGGCGCCCCCGGGGAAGGACTCGGCGGAGACCGGTGAGCTGAGGCAGCGCTCCAGGAACGCACGGCGCAGCTCCGTGCCCGCCGGCTTCGCAGGGCTGGGCCCGGGGCCCTCCCTGTCATTGACCCTCCACTCAGCGCCTTCCCGCCCGACCGCCCCCAGGCTCACCCCAGCCGCCCGACAGGGTGACCCCGACAGCTCCTGGGACGCCTCCGCCGTCAGCCCCTTTCCAGGATCTTCCTGGGTGAGGAGCGCTGCCCGCTCTGTACCGGGCAAGGAGGCGCTGGGCACCTCGTCGGAGAAGGGCGGCGCCACCTGGGGATCCCGCAAAGGGAAGACCCGCTCAGCTAGGCGCACTCGGTAAGAGCCGCCCGTCCGTTTAGTTCGCTTCACCAAGAAGCCCCTCGGCATGGTGGAGTCGGGAGTGCTCGGCCGCCGGGAGGAGTTGGGGGGACAGGGGCGCCGGGAGCAGGCAAGCACAGGAGCTCCACAAGCTTCGCCTGGGCGGGCATGCCGCTGCTGGCTTTATAGCTGAGACGCCGCCGGGCCAGCTCCGGCCGCTGCAGCCAATCAGGAGTGGGAGCGGGTCCCGGAGGCGGGGCTTCCGCCCGGCTGGCGGCGAGCGCGCCCCGCCCCGCCTCTCAGCGTCCGAGCCGCCGGAGCCCTCTGAGGGGCGCCCGCCATGGGCGAAGACGCCAAAAGGTAAGGGCTGGAGCTGGAGGGAGCTCGGCACCCCCTTCCTCGGCAGCCTGGGGGACAGTCGGCTTGGGAGTAGGCGCAGCACCCCCTGACACGAGGCGCCCCGCGCTGCCCTTAACCCCTCCCCCCAAGCACGGGCGTCCGGCTGCGCGGGAGACCCGCGGAGGGAGAGCGGCGGGCGCCGCGAGAGTCCGGCTGGAACGGGTTAACGTCCTCCGCCGCATTGAGCTGCTGCGAGTGCAGCGGAAGGAGCGGCCCGTGCCTGCACCTGCACTCGACGGCGGGAGCACGGCCGCGGTGCGGTATCGATCGCGCTGCGCGCCTGTGACACTATGAGAATTCATCTGGGAAGAAGGGCTCTCAGCGCCCGGGGCGTGCGTGCCGCGAGCCGCTGGAGCTCAGGACGCCAGCGCGCTTCGCCGCCCTCGTCCTCGCCGTGGACAAGTGCCCCTCCCCGGTGGGAGGACGAGTGGGGAGGGGAAGGGATCTCATTTCCGACTGTCCTCACACAAAGTGCTCTCTCTGTTCGCACTTTCCACTTAGGCTGCACAGAGACATGACTTAATGCCTAGCTGGCCTGTTTAGCATGGAGTAGATTGAGGGAGAAACGCTGGTGCCTCCCGGCACATGGCAAATGATACTCCGCACAAGATGTGCTGTGCACCAGACGCCACAGATTTCCATCTGGCCCTGCCGTGTGCCCAGCACTTTAGGAACCAGAAGGGATTTGAAAGTTTGTAACACTACCTGAGCAACGAAATAATTAGACCAGGAAGGGAAGAGAAGTCTGCTCAAGGCTTTACCTACACCAAACTGGTAAAAGAGAAAGGTGTTTCAAAGTGGAATGTAGAGTAACCCATCTGGTCATCAATTAAACTTACTGCCTTCCTTCCCATGAGTGAGGTATTTTTACCTGGAGGACAGTATTTGTGGGAAGGTTTGGAAGTAACTGAATATTAATCTGACTATGCTTTAAGCATTCTGCTTAAGTAATTTCTCCTCTATACGCGCACACACACAAGAAGGAGATATCTTTACTGTTTTTTTTTTCTAACAAGTGGATTGAGCCAGAGAAAAAATAGATAACAAAATTGACACAGAGCCCAGATTCAAACCAAGATCTGACTGATTCCAAACCCCAGACTCTTACCACTATACCAAGGGCTTCAAATTATTTTTTCCTTAATCACATCCCACGATTATATGTTCTGTAGCACACACAGAGAGGGGAGGGGAAGGGAGAGAGCCTGACATTTTATAATCAAAGTTAATATCCTCAATTGCTATTTTAAAACATTTGAGTCCTTTAATAGTGTTGGTAAACTTAATTTACCAAATTAGGCATTTCTGGAATGAGTTTATATATGATTTCTAACACAGTTTCCTCTCAATTTTCTCTTTCTCCTCAGATATGTGATGTGGAAATATGATGTAAGAGTTTTAATATTTTAAGATGGCCCCCTTTTCCAGAGGGGCTTTTTCCCAGGGACATAATATGTTGTAAAAACTGCTGTCACATATTTTCTACCAAATCCAGTAGTTTTCCTGTCCCTTTCCCTGAAATGTAATTTGATAACAGACTTTCTGGAAACTGGTATATCAGGAGTTTTTAAAAAAACATGTATAGCCTTAATCCACCAATTACTCTTTTAGGAAGTTATCCAAAATTAATTAAGGACTAAGATGTATGCACAAAGCTGTTTTCCACAGTGTTATTTGTAATTGTAAATAGAAATTACTGGGCTGGGTGCATGGCTCTCCTAAGCAGAGTGCCTGCCTGCCTAGAAAGCAGGAGTTCCACCAAGGGGAAAAAAAGAAACTACCTTAAGGAAATCAGGGTGTACCTATAACTGTAGATGATTAGATACCTATTGAAATTCAGTGGCATAGACAAATATGTATATCATAACATTAAGCAAAAACAACAGGATGTCCGGACAGTGGTGGTGAACACCTGAAATGTCAGCACTTGGTAGCTTGAAACTGTAGGATCATAAGTTCAAACCCAGACCAGCTGCACAGCAAGACCGTGTCTTAAAAAACAAGCAACAAAACAAAAATCAGCAGTATGCAAAGTTGCTTGTATATAAAGAGCTCAATTATGAAAGAACAAAATGTATAAAGCAAAATGCTGTTGTAATGTTCCTCCAGTTAGTAAGAATTTTGATAGTCTTTTTTTAATCCAATAAATCATTTATATGGGGGTATATTTTATAAACGGCATGTGTCACATAATGTGAGCCTCAAGGCTGTCCCTATGTGTGCACCATTCAAATCATCCAATTGTGTGTATATCTAACAACAATATACACCATTAAGCCATTTATGCAATTATACTTATGACCAGCAACAACTAAATTCAAAGACACATTACTAGATCATTTGGGATGTTTTTCTTACTATTTCAGGAAATATCCTAAAAAGGAATAATGAATGTATATATTTTAACTCTAAGAAACCCCTCCTGTTATTTTAAGAATAATTACATACTCTATTTGCTTTGTACATTTTTAATACTTGGTAGCTTTACTTCTCTGCTACTGAGCAGAATATTTTTGTTAAAATTTTTATTCAATACTATTGAGCAGCATTATAAGTAAGGCACAGATTCAAACTGAACTACAAAATTTTAAATGACATAATGTGGTTAGGGTTGTCAGCGACCATATCGTAATATATTACAATCACACATGTTTGAGATTTTACTAAATTGTTTTTAAATTAGTGTTTTATTTGTCTGACATGATACAGACACAAATATTTGCGGGGTTACCTGTATTAGTTACTTTTGCATAGCTGTGACCAAAATGCCTGAGAGAACAACTTAAAAGAGGAAAGATTTATTTTGGTTCACAGTTTCAAAGGGCTCAGTCCATGGTGGCCTGGCCACAAGCACTTGGGCAGAACATCGTGGCAACACGAGCGTGTGGCATAGAAAGCTGTCATCTGGGAAGCAGAGAAAGGGAAGAATCTAGGGACCAGGTTTAATCTCCAAAGGTATGCCCCTGTTGATCTTATTAGTATATTGTACCCAAGCATGGGAGCTCATGTCTATAATCTCAGTTAATTGGGAGGCAGAGATGGAAGAATCAAGGTTTGAAGCCAGCCTAGGCAAAAAGTTATCTATACCCTATCTCAAAAAAGAAGGAAGCCAAGTGTGTAATCCCAGCCGTGAGGGAGGAATAAATAGGAAGATTGAGTTCTAAGGCTGACCCTGAGCAAAAACGAGACCCTATCTGAAAAATAAAGCAAAAAGGGCTGGGGGCATGACTCCAGTGGTAGAGCACTGTGTGAGGTCCTGATTCAAACTTAAGTACTGCCAAAAAAAAAAAAAAAGTCAGCTCTGATTGGCCCCTGGCATTTGGGGGCAGTGCTGGGCATTTAACCCAGGGATTAGTGCATACCAGGCAAGTACTCTTACCACTGAGCCAAACTCTCAGCCCCTATCCTTAGCTAAACCACATGCCCACCACTCTCTTCCTCATTCAAGCCCTTCCATTCTCATTGATCTTAATATACTCAAATGTGACAAGCACAATTCTACCTCAAACCTGCGTTGTTTGTTTTGTTTGGGATTTTTTTGTTGTTTCTGTTTTTTGATGGTACTAGGGTTTGAACTGAGGGCTTCAGGCTTGCTAGGTAGGTGGCTCTACCATTCAGCCATTCCACTAGCCCTTTTTTTGTTCAATATTTTCAAGATGGGGTCTTGAGGACTATTTGCCCAGACTGGCCTTGAAACTTGATCCTCCTTATCTCTGCCTCCTTAATAACTAGGATTATAGGCATGAGCTACCTACACCTGTTTTTTATTTGCTTTTTCTGCTAGAATGTTCTTTCTAAAGTATGCTCAGATCTTGTTCCTTAACTTGAGTCAGGTTTTTATTCAAAAAATGCCACCTCAGAAAGATCTTCCCTGGCCACTCTAACTAAAATAGCAGCCCTGCCACTGCTACCCTTCATCATTTTGTATCCCTTTACTCAGCACTTGTGCATGGATCAAACCCAGGGCCCCACACTTGTGTACATTTATCATTGAACTACACTCCCAATCCCTCAGCTCTTTATTTTACCTGTCACTGTATTACATATGTGTGTATATATTTTATATATATATATATATATATATATACATATACATTCCTTAATTGTCTGTTGTCTCCCAGAAAGCTATAAGGTTCATGAAATCAGGTTGTTTTGTTCACAGCCACATATCCAGCATCTAGAATAATGCCAGGCATGTATGCAAATGAATTGATGTCTAAAATAATGAGCCACCAGATTTAAAAAGGCATTACAGTGTCTTACTGCTGCACCTTACAGATCTGAAGCCATCCTGCCTGAGCACGGATAGAGAAAGACAGAAGGATTCCAGATCCTAAGCATTTGGGAATATTAGTACAGAGAAATGAGAGGACTAGAGAGGTCTTGCTTATACTGTATGCCCATGGAAGTGTTTTCTTCCCCACCTTAGCCATTCTACCCATGGCTTAGATCACATCCATTCCCTTCCTTTGCATTTGTTCTCAGCAGGGAAAATAAACCCAAGCTCACAGCCAATAGCCAGAGTTTCTACTATTTTAAGCTTTTAATATTCTGGATGCTAGGGAAAAAATGGGAGCAAAAAGAAACTGGTGAGCTACTTAGAAAAGCATGACAGGCAGGAGAAGACTACATGAGTGGAAAACATGTCCCTCTGGGACAGCAGCAGTACC